AACAAGATGCCCTATGGAAAAAATATCAAGAGTCTGAACAAAGTTTACTATAAATATCTCGGCACTCTTCAAGCTGACAAGTTTAGAAGTGAATATATTACGGTATGAGAGTGAAAAAGTCCAAACTCAGCAAAGAAAATATCAAGCCCCTTAACACCTGGGCAATTCTATTCATTAGACACATAGCTGGACTGAAGCAGAACTAAAAGTCCTGGTTAGGAAGACCAGAAAAATAATCCATGCAGCAATATGAACAGACCAAGTAGCCTAATAGAGAAGTTAAAACTTTTATCCTCGTATTCAGTATTCCTAACACATACCAAATAACTTGGACTGGATCTCTGCTTTTACTGATAGGAATGAAGCAGGAATGGACTGCACGTAACCAGCAGCAGCTTCCTTCTTTACGTGTATAATGCCTGCAAATTTTTATTGGAGCTGCAAGTCCAAAAAGATGACTGGGCGATCTATGGGATAGCTAGAGTGTGCATGATGTATTTAGCATTCAAAATTTGGTGCTGTCATGTGATAGCACAATATGTGTTTGCATCCACTTTGAACCATGGCATCATCCATTATCAATAAAAGATGCCAAGGTGCTTTTTCCTTCTCTCCTCCCCCCCTCCCCATTTACTTGGAATCAAAGCAGAAGTGACCTGGAATACATTTTAATATCCCAGGTTCTTGTGCCTAAGAACTCATTCTTTCTTTGGAAGACTGCATTGCAGAATTCTGAAAAGTGTAGGTATCAAAGAACAAATTCATTCTGCTGACTTTTTGATCAGATCTATCCATAATTACAGTTCCTGAATCAATATGCAAACAGAATGCATTTACTCTTATAGCTTTCTCTTCTCCAAAATGACTCTCAAAATGTACATGGTAAAGAAAAAGTATACACAAAAACAAAAACACAAAAACTTTAGGAAGGGGTGAGTGAGTGTGTGTGTGTGTGTGTGTGTGTGTGTGTGTGTGTGTTAGTGAGTGAGAGAGAGAGAGAGACTGGCTATTTTGAATAAATACAATTTTAAATAAAATGAAACCATGCATACATGACGAAACCCCTTTGTTAGATGTGTTTTTGTTTATATTTTCGTGTAGAACAAGCAACTCAATTTGTTTTGTTTGCTATTAGGTTGTTATTGTTGTTATTGTTTTATATGGTGAGTAGTTTCAAGTCAAGTGTGCCAGAAGTGAATTCAATGGGAATGAATGAATGAGCGAGCGAGCGAGCAAGCAAGCAAACAAGCAAGTGGACTGTGTTATATCCTTTGAATCTCAGTACGGGTCCCTCTGTCTACCTGAAAAGAAAGAGATTTTATAATTTCTAGATTTCTTTCTTTTAAAACAAAAATCACAGTACTGTCACAATTCTGTGCATCATTACCTTACTAAGGAGTAAGTGTGGTAGAATGCAGGTCTTTTTGTTTCTAAGTTAAATTACTTTGAATTGTCCTGTGAAATTACTTTCTTGGCCTTTAAAGGGCAAACCTTTGTTCCTTTCATAAATAACAATAAAATAGACCCTTCAGGCAGGATACAGGCAGTTCAGGGAAATCGGTTGATTTCTTTTCCTGCAGAATATGTACACTTCCTCTCTCTTACATTTTTGTCAAAATAGGTGAATGGTATAAATGTCACCACTTCTTTGCAACGGCTCAACACACTTTACTGATTTATCTTTCTGAGTGTATAAAGCCAGGCTTCAGCATGGTTTCTTGAATGATCTCTATTATGGTGTGAGCCTTGTCTAGACTGTCAGTTGTTCAAGTCAGGTAGAGAATACAAAGGTAAAAAAACAACCCACATGACTTCAAATCCGCTTATAGTGTCTCCGCAGGTGGCAGCATCTGGTTGAACTTCTCTGATCTCTGGAGCTGAATTGGGTTCAGGTCCAATTAATATTTTGATGAGAGATACCCAGGGGTGGGATTCTACCAGTTCGCACATATTCACTAGAACCGGTTGTTAACATTCTAAGCAGTTCGGAGAACCGGTTGTTAGAAGAAATTACTGGCCTAATCCTGTAAGGAAGGCAGGAAGGAAACATTCTGGTGTTGCTTACAGAAACTGCCTCTCCGTTAACCCTTATTACATTCTTGGCAGGACCAGACTTCCTGTCTCTGGAACTTCTCTGGAGTTTTCTTCCCCTCCTTTGCTGGTACTTTGCTTGTGTGGAGTGACCATTCAAAGTTACAATGGCACTGAAAAAAGTGACTTATGACCATTTTTCACACTTACACTGTTGCAGCATCCCCACAGTCATGAGAGGCCAGGCGAGGAGATGCGTGCCTCGATGTGAGTGATATTGAGTTGGCCACACCCAGCCAATCATATGACCACTAAGCCACGCCCACCAACTAAGCCACGCCCATAGAACCGGTTGTTAAAAAATTTGAATCCCACCCCTGGAGATACCCAGGGAACTCCCAGGATTATATAAAATGGCAAATCACTTCCCGTTTGCTGCCCAGATAATTACATGAACATGTCTGTAAACTCAGCAGGAGTCATGTGCAACATGAAGGAAACTACTTTTATATGTCTCTTTACCTTTGTAATAGTGCAGTCATCTCTTATCAGAGCATAATCTTGTAATGGAGAGATAGCTCATTCTGGTCCATTGTACAAAAAAAAAACCAGAGTATAAAAAAGGAAATAATGAGCATCCTTACAGATGTCTATTGACCTTTCACATCAAGACAAGAGTGTGAGAAGTTGGTTCATTGGGCCATAGTCTTCTGCAATATTGTGAAATACAGGTGGTCCTCGACTTATGACCACAATGGAGCCCAAAATTTCTATTGCTAAATGAGACAGTTGTTAAATGAGTTTTGCTCCATTTTAGAACTTTTCTTGCTGCAATTGTTCAGTGAATCACTGCAGTTCACTTAATAACACAGTTGTTAAGTGAATCTGGCTTCCCCGTTCATCTTATTATTTATTTATTTAATTTGTATTGCCATCTACTCGCCCATGGCGACTCGAGATGTCTTACACAATGTAAAACCATATTTAAAACAAAAAATAAAAATAAAAGAACAATAAAAACTAACAAAAAGAATCAAATAAATTAATAAAGTACAATAGAACAAAATTTTGGGGGGGGGAAATCCAACCCCCCCCCCCCGCCCCAACGACAGCAGATCACACTAGCCATTTGATGGGTTCCATCTGTCTCCGGGTTCCCCAGGCCCACTGGCAAAACCAGGTCTTCAGTGCCTTTCGGAAGAGTGCTAGAGAGGGGCCATTCTAATCTCTGGGGGAATGATATTCCAGAGAGAGGGAGCCACCATGGGGAAGGCTCTTCTTCTAGGTGTATCTCCCTCAGGGGTGGGACCTGCAACATTCCCTGCCTCCTCACTCTAATGGGTTGGGTAGATGTGACCGACAAGAGACGGTCCTTCAGATAACCCAGACCCAAGCCATGAAGGCCTTTAAAGGTGACAACCAGCACCTTGAATTGTACCCGGAAGCAAATTGGCAACCAATGCAGCTCCTGCAGGAGAGGTGACATATGTGCACACAGGGGTCTGCACAAAACCATGCGGGCCACTGCATTTTGCACCAACTGGAACTTCCGGATGCTCTTCAAGACAGCACCATGTGGAGCGCGTTGCAATAATCAAAATGGAAAGTGACCAGGCATGAGTGACTATGAGTACCATTGGTCCAGGAAAGGGCATAAGTGGTACACAACCTGGTTGCGCAAAGGTCACTTTGCTTGTCCGAAGGTCACAAACAGTGATAACATTACCCTGGAACTCTGCAACCATCATAAATGTGAATCAGTTGCCAGGCATCTGAATTTTGATCATATAACTATGGAGATGCTGCAACGGTTGTTAAGTGTGAAAAATGGTCATTAGTTGATTTTTTTTCAGTGCCGTTCTAATTTCAAACGATCACTAACTGAACCGCTGCAAGTCGAGGACTTCCTATACACTATGTTGCTAATTTAGATTATGGCAATTATTACTAAATGTCTGCCTGTCTATACATTAGCACGTGAAATATGTCTCTTTCTCTTCCTAATTTTATAAAGGTTTTGGAAAGTATCCTATACTCTAAGAGTAATTGGGATAAAGCTTGCTAACTTCCCCTGATCCCTTAAATACCAATACAGCTACTGTATGTAGAGAGATGGGTTTT